GAAAGAATTCATATTATTCCAGGTTCACAAAAATGTCTTTAATAGTGTTTTTGTTTTTGACAACAAATTCTCAAGATTCCTTGTGTGGTACAAGCTAATACATTAACTTATGAGTTAATTCTGGAACATTTTGAATCAAGCACTGCATAGCGATGTCCATGGAATTTAAATGAATGCCATAAGGAACCAATAAAATTAATGCTGCATGTGAAGCGTAAAAAAATAAAATAAAAAAATCAATGTTACAATTATGTAGTATTTTACATAAAACTATTGATTGTGACGTTCCTTGACAATGTAACACTTGATATGATGGAATTGGCGTTAAGGGATTAATAAATTATTATTTTTGGTGAGATATAAAGCTGCACATTAAAAAGAACAGGGGAAAGGAAGACTGAAATCAACCTGCAAATTTGTGATTCACAGTTATTCATGTCTCTAGAGTGACATGTTGTCATCAGTTCAAGTATCGTAGTCAACAGATAGAAATGATCTATCTTTCTGTTTATCTATTGTCTTGGTTTAATATTAAGTGGAGGATGTTACTATAAAAATGCAGCACTGAGATTAGTGAGAGTTGCACTCTTGAGCTGTACATACATGTCCCACTGCTGCCTGAGTTGCAGTCCCAGCAGGGGCGGGCTGGGCCGGGGGGCAGGGAGGCAATTGCCCCCCAGGCCGCCCTAAAGCATGTTAAAAACGGCCGCTGGGCCATCTTTAACGCAGGGCTAAAGGCAGCTGCTCCGGCCCAGTTCTTCCTGTGGGCCACCAAGGCAGCTGCCTCTTCAGCCCCGCCGGCCGTGCGGTCAAAATTCCAATCCTTTAATCCTTTACTATGCGGTCGGCATTACCGCATAGTGAAGGACGAACTGGCTCCTCCTTTTGACCTCCCCTGCGCCTGAACGAGCATACGCAAGCGCGTACCATGACGTAACAGCGCATGCGCATAGCCTCCACCCGAACGGAGCACCCTCACACCCTTTCTTCACCGAGCATCCGAGCCCTGAGAGAGCAGCTGCCAGCCTGCCAGTGTCTTGAACTATCTTCAGAAGTGTAAGTGTTTTTTTTTTTATATTTACTGTAAATCAATCAATGTTCCTGTATAAAAGAAAATAAAAGTCTGCAAAGTAAAAAGTTGTAATGATAGAAATATTTTTTTAGGGGGTGGGGGAGGGGTTGGGGGGCAGTAAATGCAATGCATTCATCTAAAAAAGAAAAGAAAAGTCTCTAAAATTTATGTAATGAGGGAGATACTATTTTTTATGGGGAAGGGGCAGTAAATCAATATGTTCATATATTAAAAGAAAATTAAAAGTCTCCAAAAAAAAGTTGTAATGAAGGAATTTTTTTTTTAAGGGTTGGGGGACATTAAATGCAATGTGTTCATATAAAAAAAAAGGTTGCAAAATAATAAAAAAATATTGTAATGAGGGAGATATTATTTTTTAGGGGGAGGGGGTGGGGGCAGTACCATAAAATAAATGCAATGTGTACATATTTAAAATAAAAATCTGCAAAATAATGAAAGAATTTGTAATGAGGGAGATATTATTTTTTAGGGGGAGGGGGTGGGGGACATTAAATGCAATGTGTTCATATAAAAAAAAAGGTTGCAAAATAATAAAAAAAATTGTAATGAGGGAGATATTATTTTTTAGGGGGAGGGGGTGGGGGCAGTAAAATAAATGCAATGTGTACATATATAAAATAAAAATCTGCAAAATAATGAAAGAATTTGTAATGAGGGAGATATTATTTTTTAGGGGGAGGGGGTGGGGGACATTAAATGCAATGTGTTCATATAAAAAAAAAGGTTGCAAAATAATAAAAAAAATTGTAATGAGGGAGATATTATTTTTAGTGGGAGGGGGTGGGGGCAGTAAAATAAATGCAATGTGTACATATATAAAATAAAAATCTGCAAAATAATGAAAAAAGATTGTAATGAGGGAGATTTTTTTAAGGGGTGGGTGCGAAGTACAATAAATGCGAGGATGTGCACTTTTATATAAAAACATAATAATCTGCAAAATAAAAAAAGATTGTATTGAAGGAGATATTACTTTTTTAGGGGGAGGGGGTGAGGGCAGTACCATAAATGCAATGTGAATATTAATAAAATATAAAAATCTGCAAAATAATAAATAAAAAAAGATTGTAATGAGGGAGATATTTTTTTAGGTGTAGGGGGTGGGTGGGAAGTACAATAAATGCGATGATGTGCACATTTATATATTAAAAAAAAAAAAATCTGCAAAATAGAAAAATCTTGTAATGAGGAAGATTTTTTTTTTAAAGGGGGGGTGGGGGACAGTACAATATTTGTAATGTGCACATTTATAAAAAAAATAATCTGCAAATTAAAGTTGTGTTCTAAAAATCTAGAAATTTGCTCAATTTTTTTTCTCTATCATTGTAAGGATTCTCTCTCACTAAAGTGACATTTGATTAGCAGATTAAATCTTAATTTTTTTTTTTTTTACTTAAGAAGTGAGCCATGTAGATTTAGAAATACTGATCCCTGCTAATAAAATCTACTGTTTTAATGTAGTAGTGTACACAGGAATATTAAAGGGACACTATAATCACCAGAACAACTATAGGCACCCAGACAACTTCAGCTTAAAGGGACACTCCAGGCACCCAGACCACTTCTGCCCATTGGAGTGGTCTGGGTGCCAACTCCCACTACTCCTAACCCTGCAAGTGTAATTATTGCAGTTTTTTTATAAACTGCAATAATTACCTTGCAGGGTTAACTCCACCTCTAGTGGCTGCCTACTAGACAGCCACTAGAGGTCACTTCCTCCTTCATAGCACAGGAAACCTGTGCTAGAGCATCGCTGGACGTCCTCACGCTGTGTAAGGACCTCCAGCGTCGCTCATTTCCCCATAGGAAAGCATTGAAATTATTTTTCAATGCTTTCCTATGGGGAGCGCTAAAGCGCATTGGCGGCATTGCCGCACATGCGCATTAGGTCTCCTCGGCCGGTGGGCGGGATCAGTCTCGTCCACCGGCCGACGCAATACAGAGGAGGAGCGGCGCAGAGGAGGAGACATCACCGCTGCCTCAGGTAAGTGACTGAAGGAGTTTTCACCCCTTCAGTAACTGGGGATTGAGGGGTGGGAGGGAGAGGGACCCTCCAGTGCTAGGAAAACAGATTGTTTTCCTGGCACTGGAGTTTCCCTTTAATGAAGTGGTCTGGGTGCCTGGTCCAGCTAGGGTTAACCCCTTTTTTTTATAAATATAGCAGTTTCAGAGAAACTGCTATGTTTACACTGACGGTTAATCCAGCCTCTAGAGGCTGTCTCATTGACAGCCGCTAGAGGTGCTTGCGTGTTTCTCACTGTGAAAATCACAGTGAGAAGACGCCAGCGTCCATAGGAAAGCATTGTAAATGCTTTCCTATGAACTGGCTGAATGCGCGCGTGGCTCCTGCCGCGCATGCGCATTTACCCGATGACGTCGCTAGGAAGGAGGAGAGGAAGAAACCCCTTCCTCTCTCCAGAGCCCGGCGGGAGGGGGACCCTGAGGGTAGGGGCACCCTCAGGGCACTAGAGTGCCAGGAAAACGAGTATGTTTTCCTGGCACTATAGTGGTCCTTTAATGTGTTTTGATCTGGTGTCATATAGTCATTCCCTATAGGCATTTTAATGTAAACAGTGCCTTATCAGAGAAAAGCATTGTTTACATTACAGCCTAGGAACACCTCTAGTGGCCACACCTCAGATGGCCGCTAGAGGTGCTTTCTAGGTCAGTGCTGCAAAATGTGCAGCGCTGATGATTAGCACCACGCTGTACACTCCCCATAGCGATTCATTAATTCAATGCATCTCTGTAAGGAGCTGCTGATTGGTGCAGCGCAGCATTTTGCCATGCATGCACAATAGCTTCTCAATGCTTTCCTATAGGAAAGGAGTGGATTGGCTGAGATATACTCAAACACTGCCCAGTCCTGTGCATTGTATTGATGAAGTGATGTGTGATATACTTACAAATTGCACATTACTGTGAGTTCTATTGCTGTAGAGCTCAGTGATACACTGATATGCTGCACAGAGACCAGATCTCTTGGCAAGAGGCGTCTCTCTAATTAGGCGATTTAGACGGCCTCTCGTTAAGAGCCTCGCGGCCACCTAAACCGTGTCATCAGAGAGCTGCAGTGCTTCACCAATATTAACTTACTGCCGGCAGTCTTTCCCAGTACAAAAATATAATTGAAGCCTTCCATGCGGCTGCTGTGGCACTACTAATACAAGATGAAACCCCTTCTTTAAAACACATGGCTATAACGGACAAGTTAAAACGGTCTGATTCTCAAACCAGGGTTGTCAGGCTCATTATGTACTTAATGATCAGATGCAGATAGTCTTTTTGAGTTATATTTGTCAAATTCCCAGGTGAAATTATATTTTTGTTTTTGTGTCCATATAAAGATGAGTAATTTGGCTTTTACCGACAGGTGCTGCTGTCTATTGGGTGTAAAACACCAGGCTGCTTTGTACATTTTTACCTCTGGCAGCAAGCAGGCTGTATATTGGTCCCCAGAGCATAGAATTCGTGTAAATTACAGGCACTATGTCTGTCTCTCCCCGTGCCCTTTGTTTGTGTCATTGCCGAACATGTCAATTTGCAAAGTGCCACCATTATGTTTTTGACTAAACATAAATATATTGACCACTGGCCAGTCTCTCCTGGCTGACACTAAATCTGCAATCTTCTTTCATGATGAGGTGTGCGCTAAGTGATTGTAAAATAATCACTTAAAAGGACACTTTAGTCAACAAAACAACAACTTTAGCTTAATGAAGCAGTTTTGGTGTATAGATCATGCCCCTGCTTAATGGAACAGTTTTGGTGTATAGATTATGCCCCTGTATAGATCTGCCATTTAGGAGTTAAATCACTACATTAGTAAATGTTTGCTGTTTTTATGTAGCTCATTGTCGTGTTTTGGTGTTAAATAAATTTTACAGTTGGTTTCATATTGATAAATATGGAGAGTAAAACAACATCTAAAGAGAAAGGTGGTGCTCAGAAAATGAGAGAAAAACGGTCCAAAGAACTTGAGTTAGCAGGAAGGGATCCTAAGCAAATGAAACTATCTTTTTCGGTGGTATGTTAAAAGTTCAAAAGTTAAGGCTAGTTCTAACATTTTATGTCACAGAAATGTATATTCACTCTTTTGATAACAAGAATGAATATATCTACCGTATATACTCATCTATAAGTTGATCTCGTCTATAAGTCGAGAGCAGTTTTTTGACCAACAATTGTAAAATTACTCGTGGATAAGTCGAGGGTAAAACTTGGGGCTATGAAATCCTGGGATTTTTATTATTTTGTCAGATATTACCTAGGCAAAGATCCTGGAACAATCAAACTGTTATGGTAACTACTCCTCTGCATCTCAGTGCACACGCTCAGCTCCAAAGGCACATTCGGTTATCTCGCCAGCTAGTGGTCTTGCTTGTGGCTCATTACAGCCACCGCTGCAACAGTGACGTGGAAAGCGTACAGATAGGTGGCAGTAATCAGCAATCGCTGCACTGTATTCTAAATCAGCCTGCTGTTGTCCGTGTGTGTACCCGGTATCTGGGTCAACGTACAGCTAAGTACTCTAGCACTACCTGTAACTCGATATTGCCCCGCATTCAATGTGAACTAAATTCTATCGAAACTAGCATGGACCCGTGGATCTGCGTTTTAAAATGAAGCTTACAACTAAAATTTCTCGAGTATATACGGTAGTCTGTTTGCATGTGCATGAAGAAGTTTTACGTTTGTTAAGATTCATGATGGATTATCAAGGAGTGTGCATACTTGACTTTCCATAGTGATCAGTTTTACTTTGTTAAGATATATTTTTACTTATTTGAAATCTCATAAAATCTTACATGTAAGGTAAGTATGAGTTGTATATCCTTTGTTTGCATGAGGTTTTTTATTTTTTATTTTTTTTATTGTTACCATGCATGGAGTTCCTGGAGTTTCTTGGTTACCTCTAGAACTTTTCTGGGGAGATTAAAATAGTTTGACAAAAAAAAAATGTTGTTTTAGGCTGGTGGTATACACCCAAGAATTCCTGTTGATGAGGTTTCTGCCGGCCCAAGTGCTCCTTCAAGCAGGCCGGTTGTGTCCGTCGAAGATGAGGTGAGCCCACAAGCAGAAGAACAGGTGATTGAGGAGGAGCTGGTGTCAGAACGCAGAGAGCAAGCGCAGATAAATGACCCAGATGTTTTTGAAGACCTTCCTGAATTAGAATGTATCACATCTGAAGACATGTCAGGAAGCGTTATAAATGATCCATCAGAAATATCTTTTAGTCTTCCTCCTGCATGCTCCATAGCAGAAAAAATTAATTTTGTTGAAAAACACCCTTTTCAGCCAACCAGGACTGAATGCGCAGATCTTCCTTTTCAAGAAGCAGACTTTTATTACCGCAAAAAGTCTAATGGGGATCGTATTAAGCGTACATGGCTGAGTTGCAAGATAAAGGATCGAAAGTTAGAAGCATTTTTTTGCAGCATATGCATTGCCTTTTCTAATTCCTCTTCCTCGTTCACTAGTGGTTGTTCTAATTTTCGCCATTGCTATCAGGCAGCAAATAAGCACGAATCTTCAAAAAGTCATTCTGATGCTGTTAGTGCTTATTTTACCATGAAAACGAATAGAAGCATTGACACGTTATTAAATCAGGCTCAAGTCTCCAGAAGAAAGAAGGAGATACTACAAAATATTGAGGTATTAAACCGTATATTTAATATTGTAAAACTCCTCGGAAAACAGGGATTGCCATTTCGTGCCCATGGCACTAATGAATCGCTGTACAATTTAAATAACATTGAAATAAACCACGGGAACTTTCTGGAAATTGTCCTACTTCTATCACAGTATGATATTCCTCTTAAAAATCACCTTGATAAATGTGTTCAGGACAGTGAAAAAAGAAAACAGCAATTGAAAGACAGAAAAACATCAGGAAAACATTCAACTGGACGTGGATCTCTTGTGACATTTTTGTCCAATAATACAATAAAGAAAGTATTTGCAGCAATAGTTCAAAGCATGAAAAACTTAATTGTGTCTGAAATCGGAGAGAAAGGATTCAGTGTACAGGTTGACTCCACACAAGATGTTGGAATTGTAGATCAAGCAACAGTAGTTGTGAGATATGTGCAAGATGAAGCCATTAAAGAACGGCTTGTGGCGATTCTCCCTGTTAAAGACGCTACAGGAAAAGGATTTCACGAACTTCTAATGTCCTGTTTTGATATGCTTGGATTAGATTTCCAAAGAATTGCTGGTGAATCATTTGATGGTGCAGCAAATATGAGGAGTGCGTATGTGGGACTACGTGCACAGATTGCAAAGGTAGTGCCAGATGCGGTTTATATTTGGTGCTATAGTCATATCCTTAACCTGTGTGTCTCAGATTGCTGTCAAGTATTGGAAGCCAAAATTTTTTTGGTCTCCTAAATCGCTTGGCAACCTTTATTGGAGACTCACACAAAAGAATGAATATCTGGAAAGACCAACTGGATAGAAGACATGGACAGGAAAAACTTTTAAAGTTACAAAAAATTGGAGAGACAAGATGGTGGGCAAAAGAAAAAGCCCTTAACTGGATTTTTGGTGAAAAACATTCTCTTTATTTTGACACCCTTGAAGTTTTATATGTAATTTCCCAGAGTAACTTGTTTGAATCAAAAACCACTTCTGAGGCCTCATCCCTTTTTCACAATCTTTGTCAGTTTAGGATTATCCTAACAGCAAACATATTTTTACAGGTTTTTGATGTTATAGGGCCAGTGTCAAAGTATCTACAAACCAGTGGCCTTGACTTCAAGGTAGCATGGCAAATGGTCGAACGTGCAGTGGAGCAACTGAAGAAAATTGATTTCAACAATCTAAAACAAAAGGCTGAACACTTTGCAATAAAAACAAACGAGTTAATGGATGAAAGTGATGTTCTCAACTCCTTGGAAGTCGAGACTATGCTTCCAGTTCGAAGAGTGGCACGAAAGAAACGCTTGGCTGGAGAATCTTCACATGATGAACGGCCTGAAGATGAAATGCAATGTTTTCGAGCTAGTGTGTTCAGACCAATTCTGGACCAAATCATACAAAGCATGACGGAGAGATTTTCAGAAAATAAGCAATTGGTCATGGATTCCCACTACTTGGATCCTCGCACTTTTCAGAAAATTAGGACAGATCCCAAAGTGCTAGATGGAGGGGCACTAGAGAGAATTTCTAAGTTAGCCAAAGTAAATGAATGCTCTCTCAAAACTGAATTAATAAGTTTTGCCAACTTATTTCCAAGTCTTACAGGATGTCTTTCTGAAGATGAGACACAGAAAGTGGAAATAATTATTGAGGAGGAGGAGGAGGAAGAGGAGGAGGAGATTGACTGGATTCCACCTACTGACAAACTAGTTGAGGTACAAAAGGAATCAAAGTGCGGTTCTTGCAAGCAGTGCTTTCTTTGCTGCCACAGGTTGTTGATAAAATACAACCTTTATTCTGCAGCTTATGAAAATCTTTCTATCACCTATGAGTACCTGTTGACCCTTTCTTTTACACAAGTGTCATGTGAGAGAGCATTCAGCAAGCTTAAACTCATCAAGACCCGACTGCGAGCCACAATGGGACAAGAACTGCTTGATGCTCTAATGCTCATGT